CAGATGTACTCAGCTACCTCATCTTTGACAAAGGAGCTGACCATCCTCAGTGGAGGAAAGATAGCCTCTTTAATAAATGGTGTTGGAAAAACTGGATGTCAACCTGCCACAGATTAAAATTAGACCCTTATCTTTCGCCATGCACTAAATTAAAATCCAAATGGATTAAAGGTCTAAATATTAAAACAGAAACATTAAACTTGCTGGAAGGCAAGTTAGGCAGAACTCTGGAAGACATTGGTATAGGAAAAGACTTTATGAACAAATCGTCAGCAGCACGGGAACTAGCAGATAGAATCAACAACTGGGATCTCATCTTATTAAAAAGCTTCTGTACTTCAAAAGAAACCATCAGCAGAACTAAGAGACAATCTACAATGTGGGAAAAAATTTTTACCAGCTGTTCCTCAGACAAAGGACTATTATCAAGGATATATAAAGAACTCAAAACAATCAGCCCCCCAAAATATAAAGACCCGATTCAAAAATGGGCATCCGAAATGAACAGACATTTCTCAGACAAAGAAGTAAAAGCAGCAAGTAAATATATGAAAAAATGTTCCCCATTGAAGTTTTTTTTTAAAGGGACTGGAAGCACATCTCCATGGTAGTATAGCAGATAGCTAAATTAGGTAGCGATTGATAGGCAGTTAGAAAAAGACCAGGCCCAAGATAGAGTCACCACAGAGATGAGACAAACGAGGCCTGTGGGTAAGAGCTGAGTTGATAGAAACTAGGCTGGAGACACAATGGCTAAGCCTCGGAGCCTCCCCAGAGATAAACAACAGCTCAAAACCGTACTGTAACTAGCACCATTTGGTCCAATAAGCCTAAACAATACAGCACATAAGAACATCAGAATGAACACATAGTTAGGTGACCAGAATACTCTGACCCTCCCTTCTACGCCCCTGGAAATGCCTTTGCTCTTTTCCATACTCTTGCCACATACCTTGTTTTTCTATTAAATCAATATTAACTAAGTAACTGTACTTGTAATCTTACAGGTTGATTGTAGTTCAAACTGAGGTAGCTTGTGATGTGATTTAACTGTATAAAAGCCCCCCAGCTGTGGTGGCACATGCCTGTAATCCCAGTACTGGGGGAGGAGGGGTGAAAGCAGAAGGATCACTATGAGTTCCAGGCCAGCCTGAACTACATAGAGACCCTCTCACAAAAACACTCCCCCTCCAAAGAAACCTAGACAAAGAGCCTCAGCAACAACCCACTTTAGGGATCTCTCTTGTCTCTCAGGTAGTTGAGACTGACCTGGAACTCACTATGTAGCTCAGGCTGGTTTTCAACTCACAGAGATCCTCCTGCCTCAGACTCCTGAGTGCTGGGATTACAGGCATTTGCCACCACGCCCGGCTTCACTATGTAATTTGGGCTGACCTGGAACTCACTAGGTAGCCCAGCTGGCCTTGAATTTGCAGTGATCCTCCTGCCTCAGCCTCCACACTTGGTTTAAATGATCATATTTTAAAGAGGTATTCCAATACATTCACCAATGAAACTATGTTGAATATCTTATTTAAAGGACAGGAGAGGGCTGAGGATTTAGTGGTTCTGCTGCCGGCCTCACAAGAGCGAGGTCCCAAAAAACAAAGAATTTAAAAAATTAAAAAATAAAGGATAGGAGAAAATTTATCTGTTGCAATGCCTGGTGGTGTACAGAGGAGTACCACAAGTTTTAGGCCAGCCTAGGTGATTTTGGGAGATCCTTTCTCAAAATTAAAAGAAAAAAAAATTGGGGGAGGGTTGAGATAGGATCTTGCTATGCAGTTCAGGCTGGCCTCAAACTAACTGCAATCCTCCTGCCCAGCCTCCCAAGTGCTGGGATTATAGGCATGAGAAAAATCAAAATTTTACAACGGGTTGGGGATGTAGCTCAGTTTGAAACCTGCATTTAATCAACAAAACCGCACCCCCCCCAAAAAAAAACCCAAAATGCAGGTTCAGCAAAGGAAAAGCTAAGTGTGAGGTAGTGAGGTGGCAGGGTCATGATGACAGGAGAACTACTGCATTTGGTTGTGAACAAGGATATTTAGATAATTCTAAACCCTTTTTTTTTTTTTTTTTTTTTTTTTTGAGACAAGGTCTCTCTCTGTGATTCAGGCTGTCCTGGAACTCACCACCTAGCCTAGAACTCGCAGCCATCCTCTTGCCTCAGCCGCCCAAGTGCTGGGATTACAGGCGGGTACTACCACACTCGGCTCCAAACCGATTTCTGCCACCCTACAACCTTCACAGGTTGAATCTTCGGCCTAAGCTTTAGGTTTTATTAAATTTAGGTGAATATGGCTCAGGTCTTACGTTTCCCAACCATCTTCAGACCAAGCATTCTGTATCCTCATCAGTTTCGACAGCAGCTGTGAAATGACTTGTTTACAACGAACCAGCTGAATAGTCAGCGGCAAAACGCAGAGTAATCACTCCAAAGCACTTCCGGGCACCGCGTCGCAGACAAGAGTTTGAAATTCTTGCAAACGCACTTCCGGGTGATTAAAATTCAGCTGTAGGCGCCTGTGCGCGAGCCGCAGCTAGGTGATTCGGCCAGCGACTGCGCGGCCCGCACAAGCGAAGTGGGGCGGGGTCCTGGGACGGTGG